AAGGGGAAAACAAATTCACCAGCCAATAGGAGCGGAGGTGCCCTGGCGGAGGCTGGCGCGCCCCTGCTCGGGTGATCTGGCGCAGCAGCCCGGGGGTGGTTGGCGCACGTCGGGCTCCTCCCCGTTTGCTGCGGCCTCCGAGCTCGCCGTCATCTTGTGGCCTCCCGCAGAATGTGGATGACGCCCAAGAGGATTAGGATGGAAGTCGATGAGGCCCTAGTGTTCCGACCCGAGTGGACCCAGCGTTACTTGGTGGTGGAGCCTGCGGAGGGCGACGGGGCCCTGTGCCTGGTGTGTCGCCGCCTGGTCGCCTCCACCCGGGAACGCGACGTGAGGCGCCACTACGAGGCCGAGCACGAATTCTACGAACGGTTTGTAGGGGACGAGGAGCGCGCGGCCCTGGTGGAGCGTCTGCGTCAGGGCGACATGTCCTTAGCCTCCGTGCTCACTCCCGAGGAGAGAGCGACCCGGGCAGGCCTCGGCCTCTGTCGCTTCTTGGCCTTGAAGGGTCGCGGCTGGGGTGAGGGAGACTTCGTACACCAATGCATGGAGGTGTTGCTGAGAGAGGTGCTGCCGGATCACGTCGGCGTCCTGGAAGGCATCGATTTATCGCCAGAGATCACACGGCAGAGGATTCTGAGCATTGACAGCAACCTCCGTGGCCAGCTGTTTAACCGAGCCAGGGACTTTAAGGCCTATTCCCTTGCTTTGGATGACCAGGCTTTCGTGGCCTATGAGAACTACCTCCTGGTCTTCATCCGTGGCGTCGGCCACGACCTGCAGGTGCAGGAAGATCTTCTGACGATTATCAACCTGACTCATCACTTCAGCGTCGGGGCCCTCATGGCGGCAATCCTGGAGGCCCTGCAGACTGCGGGGCTCAGCTTACAGCGGATGGTTGGACTCACCACGACCCACACTTTAAGGATGATTGGTGAGAACTCGGGGCTGGTCTCCTACATGAGAGAAAAGGCCGTGAGCCCCAATTGTTGGAACGTTATCCACTATTCCGGATTTCTGCACTTGGAACTGTTGAGTTCCTATGATGTTGATATTAATCAGATCATAAATACCATATCTGAATGGGTAGTTATGATTAAGACCCGAGGTGTTAGGCGCCCAGAGTTCCAGCCTTTACTGACTGAGTCTGAATCAGAGCACGGTGAAAGGGTTAATGGACGGTGCTTGAACAACTGGCTGAGAAGAGGCAAGACGTTAAAACTCATATTTTCACTAAGAAAGGAAATAGAGGCCTTCCTGGTTTCGGTGGGGGCAACGACAGTCCACTTCTCAGACAAGCAATGGCTTTGTGATTTTGGCTTCTTGGTAGATATTATGGATTATCTTCGAGAGATCAGTGAAGAACTGCAAATCAGTAAGGTCTTTGCTGCTGCCGCCTTTGACCGAATCTGTACCTTTGAGGCTAAGCTGAGTTCACTTCAGAGACATATGGAGGAGGTAAACCTCGAAGACTTTCCTGCCTTCAGCATCATCGTCGATGAGCTCAAACAGCAGTTTAAGGAAGATCAAAAAATATTTGACCCTGACAGGTACCAAATGGTGATCTCCCGCCTACTAAAAGATTTCGAGAGACATTTTAAGGACCTGAGGTTCATCAAAAAGGACTTGGAACTTTTTGCAAATCCATTTAGCTTTAAACCTGAATATGCGCCTATTTCGGTGAGAGTGGAGCTGACAAAGCTTCAGGGGAACACTGACCTGTGGAATGAATACCAAGTCAAAGACTTGGGACAGTTTTATGCTGGGTTGTCTGGTGAAGCTTACCCAATTATCAAAGGGGTTGCCTATAAGGTGGCATCCTTGTTTGACAGTAACCAGATCTGTGATAAGGCTTTTTCATATTTAACTCGAAATCAGCACACCCTGAGCCAGCCACTGACCGATGAGCATCTCCAAGCACTGTTTCGAGTTGCCACAACTGAAATGGATCCTCGTTGGGATGATCTTGTGAGAGAAAGAAATGACTCATAAGCTTTTGTCGTACAACAAGAATTCAGTTTGAAAAGGAAAAACTAGCTTGATTTTTCTTTCACATTTCCTAATTTGGATTGTTGGAAAGCATTGAGCTTCTTACAAGATGTCCAAATTGATAAACATTGGCATCTTTCTGACATGTTGCTTGTCCACATCTCCTTTGGCAACATGGGACTGAACCATAAGAATACCACCTTTTAAAAACTTCGTTTAATGGAAATGTTGCCTTTTACTTTTGTGTTATAACGGATTTTCAACAAGTTTGGTATTGATATTGCAAGTTGAACTAGAAGTCTGGTTTTAAGATGTTCTAGAGATATATGCCAAAAGTTTCAGCTCTTATTTTGACTTGGTGTAAAAAGTGTGATGGTTTGAAATGACCAACTCCTTAAAGTGTATTTGAGTCAGTTTACAGAAACATAGCTAATTAAGTTTCTGAAAAGGAGCGTATACACAGTGGAGGTATTTTGTCTAGCTAACAGAATTTAAGATTATTTTTGAAAGCATATTTCTGAGCCTGAAGTAAATACTGGAGGAGTTTTGGCTCTACCCCCACCTACCCAGTTGATGGTGACATTACAGATGGAGGAAGTAATCAAAATTTGGTTGGAGCAGCAAGAATTTAAGATTTGATTTAGGAGGCCTCACTATCAGGAATTAAGGATAAATGGTTATTGGGGGTTTGCTCCTTATTTTCTCACAGCTAGGGGCAGTTTTTTTTTTCCAGCTGTCTGTCAAAGGACCATGGTAAGTATGGAATCTTAACCATTGCCAGTCAGTAATGCTTTTTTCTCCCCTAGAAAGAACTTTTTGACCCTATTAAAACAGTGGTGGGGGCAGGGGAGGGGGGATTTTAAACTTCAGGATCAGGAGTTATGAGAGGTTTTAGTTTATTTGTCTTTTCTGCATGGGATTAATGTTTTGTAAAGAAACTATGCTTAAGGGAGACACTTTATTTTGAAATGACAAGTGTCAGATTTTGTTAGCTGCTGAAAGTGGATTTCCTCTAGAACTGTCATACATATTGAGTAAAGACAGTACACATGTAATATTTAAATCTCAAGAAGCAGCCTTATCCACAGACTGTAACAATTCCCACTCGTGGAGACGTTGGTTTTGTTCTCTAACGTTATCAGACATGTTAACCGTGAAAACGTCAACCTTACAGTCAAGCTCAACATTGTAAGCCGGATGTAAAAGCAGCACCTGATTTGTAACTCATCCTCGAGTACAGTTTCAAAGCTGCCCTGCTGCTTTCTGTCTTAACTATTGCAGCACATTATCCTGTTGCATATTCAAGGAACCTGATTACAACCAAGAATTTAGAAGGAACCGATGCCAAGCCACACGAGCCTAAAGAACCAAAGTCAGATCAGTGGTTCTCAACCCGAGGTAGAACCTGTCCTTCCACAGAGTGCTGGGAAGTGTGTCGGGGCACCTTTGTGGTTATCTTATTTACTGGAGGGTTATGCTGGCATTTGAGCTTAAAGATTTTTCTCTCTCCTGTGGTGTTCAGGACAGCCTGATGCCATGAAGAGTCATCCCTCCCAAAGTGCCAGCACCCTCCCCCACCAAGTACACATCATCTTATTTCAAGGGCCAGGGAAATCTCCAGTAGAAGCTGATGGCAGACTTGATAGGGAAGCCTAATACCAGCGGGTCAGAGAAGAAAAGCCAGTATCAGGTTGACATTTTGCTTATCTGAGAATAAGCCTAAATACCTGAAAAACAGAAGGACTCTACTGGTAATTTCCCAGTAGCTTTGTGTATTACTCTTCACAGCAAATCCTTCATATACTTTTGTTTTTTGAGAGAATGATTAGAAGTTCTGAAAGCCGCTTCTACTTTCTATTCCTAGTCCTCTAAATATTATTATCTTGTGCATTCTATCAAGTTCTCGTGTTTTGCTTAAGGTGATAATAAAATTAGATTGCATCATGTAGCCACAGTGTGAGTATGGGGGAGATATAAATAAGCTAAGTTTTTTTTTTTTTTTTTTTAATTGACTCTCAGCAATAGAGTTTGCTGTAACTAGTCTTGGGGTTTTTTTCGTTTGTTTATTTGTTTGTTTTAAGACAGTGGTTCTCAACCTTCCTAATGCTGTGACCCTTTAATACAGTTCATGTGGTGCCCCCCAGCCATAAGATTATTTCATTGCTACTTCATAAGTGTAATTTTGTCACTGTTATGAATCATAATGTAAATATCTGATATGCAGCCCAAAGGGGTTGAGAACCACTTGTTTAAGGTGTTTTGCCGTCTTCTGTATTGAGTAACTCTAGCTGCATGGCAGTCTTTTCTCTATCCTTTATTAATATATAGTTGTTACTGGTCCTGTGGTATCAGTGAATATAGTTAAAATAAGTGCCATTTAAAAAAACAAACAACTCTGTGTCCTTAACTGTTCCTTCCACATTTCTCTCATTCCCACTAGTTCAAATATTTGCTTGCCCAGTCTCCCATGTTGCCAGTC